TAGACAGGGAACATTTCATTGAAATTTTAGCTTTCCATGGTTCTTGAGTTAGCAATTTTCCTGCCAGAAACTTTCACGGGGCCGTACGTGACAATCACTCATGCCCGGGAGCTGAGTCTGATAAATCCAAGCTGTACATTTGCTAAGAACATTCACTGAAAATTTCAGCCTCCCAGCTTTCCTGGTTCCCAAGTTAGCGATTTTCGTGCCAGGAACCCTCACAGGGCCATACGTGGGAATCACGCACATTTGGGGGTTGAATTTGAAATCTTTGAATTCTACGTAGACGTGGGACATAACCTCAAAATTTCATCTTCCTAGCGTTCCCGGTTCCCGAGTTAGCGGTTTTCCCGCCAAAACTTTCACCCCCTCATACGCGGGGCTCAGACTTGCGTGAGGGTTGGTATCGCGGTCCTGGGGTGACACTTGGCCGCAGAACCTACCGGCAAAATTTTGGTGCTGGAGCTTGCTTGGGTACCAAGTTGAAATATTCGGACAGGCGCACACACATACACACACACACACCAGGGGCGTTGCAATATGCGTTTTCGCATTTGTATATATGCAAGAATGCATAATCAGGTTCCCTCAACTGTTATCACAGTGCGATGTACTTACTCATCAAAAAAAACATGCGTACATTTCAATCGCATGGCTAAGCCTAGGCTAGAACTCACCAGACTTACCGGTGCAATCATGCGTTTTTGCACTTAACTCGCAGATCGCTAATAGAATGAATGATTCCTGCGCTGTGGCCTAAGACTTGGACTCATATTGGCCGTGCTTTGGCCTCTTCCGGCATGCAGGAGAAAGAGCGTCAGTTGGATGAAGGTGTTGCATTACAGGGCGGCATGAACCTGCAGGTGCACGATTATCAGTTTTTTGCAAGAAGCCCTGTCGTTTTTTCAGTAAATGCTCGCTTTTTGAAAAAATGAATAACGTAAGTTTTTAAAGGTGCAAAAATTTCAGTTCTTCACTGAACAGTGGAAATGTTGCTAGAGCGGTCGTTCGCTGCAAAATGCGCTCTTTTTTGAGTTTGCGGCAAAGTTGAGTATTTCTCATAACCACTTGCAGGGGATTTCACCTCCAAGCAGAATTAAGACCACGCATGAAAGTAGAATATCCCAGCGAAGTTTCAGCCTCGCACCTTACCCGGTAAACGAAATAACCATTTCGCTACAAATACCCTTGAAGTGCCCTAAATCGTGGCGCAAGTGCAAAAATTTAGGTGTACGATTTTCCATATGGGCGACAAATATGCTGAAAAAATTCCAGCCACTGTTTCTCAGCAAGTTTTCGAGTTTGCACAGAATCAAGTTGCAAACTTTGACGTGATCGTACGCGCTGCACAAGCGTGCGCGACAGCTAAGTTTGAAATCTTCAGCTTGCACATGCACAGAGAATATCCCTGCAAAGTCTCAGCCTTGTATCTCGCCTATTTCGCGAAATCGGCTCCGCCAAAGAAATTTACATATTTTTTTCGGGGGTCCGTACGCGAGGTCTAGCCGCGTATGAGCGAAAATTTTAAAACGCGAGGATGACGCATATACCCAAAATTTCAGCTTCCTAGCTTTCCCAATTGCTGAGATGAAACTGGGTGACAAAGCTCACTCGCTTCCGAACACGCACAGTTGAGCTCTTGACAGTATGCATTTTTGCTAGCTGTAGCAGCGCTATAGCGCTGCACAGCAAAAATGCATAAAAAGTTTTGAAGAGTGGGGTATTTTCGTGCTGTATTAGTGATCAATTGCCCGCAATTTTTATTTTTCATTGAAAATTAAGGATATTTTTGTTTCTATTATCTGCATCAACATCTAATTGGCAAAAAATATTTTTTAATGTGCCAAATCCGACCGTTTCAAAAAATAATAAATATGCAAAGTTCCATCTGCCTCCAGCTATGACAATAGAACGACCTGAAGTAGTTGCAGTGGGAACGGGAATGCAAATTTCGAAAAGCCACATTATGAGTCCAGAGATTTCGAAGCTAGACAATAAAAATTGACAGCGCAGCGGGATGGGATTGTTTCAGCTCTGACCATGGAAAGTCAACACCGCTACCCGTCAGCACGTGGATGTCTCGTAAAGCACAGCGCCAGCAAGACGGCCTGGGCTATCGGTGTGGGAGCTGCAAAAGCAGCCACAAAGCGAGCGCAATCATGCAAGTTTGTATTTCTATTCGACTTTATATTTTTCTTCAAAGTCTCTGCAAGAGAGAAGAGGTGTTTTTGTAAGTACCATTCGCTACGTCCCAAATCAGTCAGCAAATCAAACAGCATGCCTACTTAGCGGATTTAATTTGCTCCGGTGGCTTACACTCACACTACTCGTACAGCAAACATTTCTTGTATGAACGCAAAGTCAGCAGCCAGCAAGCGCATGCCAAAGAAATATTGGGCGATGGAAATTTCACGGCGCCGTCGATGCTGTGGAACAATGTCAGACTGTGGAAACCAACTGATTCTTTTCTAGCTTTTTTGAAATGCCTGTGAGAAACGAACGTTGGACATTGCAGATCCTCTAATAGGATCTTTAGCAATACTTTCATTGCTGCGACGATCCTCGAATTGCATGATCTGGATTGGATACGCTTAACTGGTTTCTGCATTGTGAAGTTTCTCTGCT